GAGTTTCTCAGCTGCTGCCCCCCGAGCCTGTGCACCTGGCTAGAGGCAGGGCTGAGAGTGGCGTGAATAAAAGGAGGGAGGGGGCATTTGGTCCTCCTCGGGGAGCAGAGCTTTGGCCAGACAGCACTTAAAGGGCACCCCACAGTGGGCCGTGGGGAAAGCTGGCCCTGTATCGAGCATCCCTAGGATGGCTCAGTCTGCAGGGATGGAGACCACTCGATCTACCCGGGCTCTGGGTCTGGAGCACCACGGAGGAAAACTAGTGGGTGCTAAGCACCTCCTATTAGCTCCCCTTCCCCCTCCCGGACCTTTGGGCCCCACCAATCAGCGCCTCCCCCTCCGTCCCGCCCACTGTGATCAGCTGTTTCGTAGCCTTTGAGAGGCTCAGTGGGGGAGGGAGCAGAACTGGGTGAAAAGAGGCGGGGTGGGAAGGGTGGAGTGGGGCCAGGGGCAGAGCCAGAGGTCAGGCACCCCTCGCCCCCAGCATTTATGAAAGTGGGTGCCGATGTCTGGATCGAACACACACCCCTCTCCTGCCTGAGCTAAAGGAGATTCCTAAACCGCAGACGTGGACCGGCCACAAGACAGGGACACAGCTCCAGGCTGTACTGAGTTGGCTAAACAGAGCCCTGCCAAGCCACTGAGACATTCACCCCAAAGTAACAAGCAGCAGGGGGGCTGCCTGTTTTGGGCTCATCTTACTACTTTTCAAACTTCCCCTCCAGACGCCCCCACCCAAATCTGCCCGGATGCTGCACCCAACTTTCTACCTTCCGCATCAGACAGCAAATGGCAGGTCACTGCATCCAGAGCAGACCCAAGACTGAAAGTAGGTCCTGGTTCAAAGCATGTGAATTCAGGCCCCCGCAAGCTGTGGGGCAATCCCCAGCCCTCAGATGCCACCCCCATGATGACGTGCGGTGAGTTACACAGGCCTTCTGGGTAAAACTAGTATCAAGTTGGTGCAGCTGGGGAGCTGGGGCTAGACCCCACTCAGCATTTTGGTTCCTAAAACTCAAGCTGACTGCATGTGCTAAAGGAGAGCCACATGCAACGGCTCCCAGGAGTCAGGTATGTTTGGGGCTCGTCTCCACTACAGGGTGGATCGACGCTGCAGCAATCCATCCACCGGCCATCGATTTGTCACGTCTGCTTAGACGCACTAAATCAATCTCCGAGCCCTCTCCCATCGACTCGATACTCCACCAGAACAAGAAGAGCAGCCCACGCTGACCTTACCTCACAGAAGTAGGTTTGTGAGATGCTTTCACCAAAAATCCCAAACATGGCCAAAAACACCCGAAAAAACAGGAGACCAAACTTGTTGAGCAAAAAAAGAGACAAAAGTTGTTGAGCAAAAAAAAAAAGTGTTGCTGCGACTTTAAGAATCTCCACACTCCTCACTTCCCCCTCCCAGGCCAGATGCGGCAGGGAAAGATTGTCGCCATCGGCCTTCCAGCCTGAGGGGGGGGTTACCGGACAGGGGCCAGAAAAAACAGACTGTCCAGGTGAAAACCGGACACCTGGCAACCCTACACAGAAGACACCATAGTAAATGTGTCGACTTCCACCATGCTAGCTGCATTGCTGTAGTCAGGTCGATTCGAGCAACGGCGGGAGTTAGTGTAGACAAGGCCTTCGTCTTCAGAGGAGCATGACAAAGCAAACACGAATGAGCATCTCGTTTTAGCCTGAGTTTTCCTGCTCTCCGCCAATTCAAAGAAGTCCAGGTGTGTGAGCTGAGCATCTCGTTTTAGCCTGAGTTTTCCTGCTCACAGCCAATTCAAAGTAGTCCAGGTGTGTGAGCTGCCAGGAAACCACTAAGTTTCTGGGGTCGCTTGTGGCTGCAGAGCCGTCATTTCTGTACCTCTCCTCTGGCTGCCAGCCAATCAGATGGATGCTACATGCAAAGCTGGCCCCTGATTCGCTGATAAAACAGTGAGGACAATCGTTTAGCTTATCAGCTGATTCGAAAGAGTACAATGAAACCTTCAGTAAAGAATGACTTTGGAGTGAGAGCTGTGTGTTCCTGAAACATTCGACAGAGCCTTTGTAGCCAGACGGCAACAGCTCAAACCTGGCCAAGCGGTCATCCTGCTAAAACAAAACCTCACTCAACCTAACCCGCGTGCCCCATTTACCCATCACCTAATGGTCCCTACGGGGCCAGATTTCCCCTTTACTCTGCCCTACAGACAAATGGGAGCTTCCAGAATGAAATACATATGGGAATGGTCACATATCCAGTGAGCCCTTAGTGGTCCATTATGGCAGGTGTGGCTATCGCATTATTGCACTGATCTAAACAAACCCATCCTGGGACTGTCCAGCACCATTCCCTTAGGGCCTGATTGGTGCCCACTGGGAGGGGCGACAGACTGGATGGGCCACTGAGCAAGGTGGGAGTGGTTCTACACTCCCAGAAGGGGTGGGGCCTCAGGCGGAAGGGTGGGGCCTCAGGCAGAAGGGCGGGGCTGGGGCAACCAGTCCTCAGTGCCTCCCAGACTGCATGTGTTGCATTAGGTCCTTCATGCCCTTGCCAATTTCTCCTTCCGAGTGCCTTAGGATACAAAGGCTACTTCACGCGCTGCCTCTGGCCCCAGCCCAATCTTAGCAGCTCCTATTGGCTGGAAAATGGCCCATGGGAGCTGCTACGATTGGGCTGGGTGCAGGGGACTCTCTCTACATGCAGAGACTCTCTCTGCACCCCGGCAAGTGGCACATGGAGGGAGCAGCCAGCAGCTTTGAGCTGGGGCTACGGCAAGCAGGCCCAGGAATTGCCTAGGTAAGCACCTCCCGGCTAGAGCCTACATCTGGCACCCCACCCCCTCCCACGCCCCAACTCCCTGCTTCAGGTTACCACCCTCTCCTGCCTGAGTCCCCACCCAAACCCTCTGCACTCCCCTGCTCCTCCTACACCCCTCCCAAAACCAGAATTCTCTCCTGCAGCCACACCCCTTCCCTGAGCCTGCACCCCTTTCTGCACCCCAATCCCTTGCCCAGGTCACCCCCCAAACCCACTGCCACCCCCTTTCCTTGCCCCAGATCACAACTCCCTCCAGACTCTGCAGTCCCTCCTACACCCCTCCCCCAGGACAGAATCCTTTCCTGAACCCAGACTCCCTCCCCGACCCTGCATCCCAATCCCCTCCCCCAGGGCACAACCCCCTCCTTCACCCAAACTCCCTCCCCGATCCCACACTGTCTCCTCTACCCCTATCCCCAGCTCCCTTCTGCACCCCACTTCCAGCCCAGACCCCCCACACCTCCTCCATAGAAAAGTGCAGCCCACGACCACTGACCAAAACCTTGGAGTGCCCCCTCATCAAAAATTATTGCCCACCCTGGATTTAAACCACCCCTGACAGGTGTCTGTCCAACCTGCTCTTAGAAATCTCCAGTGATGGAGATTCCACAACCTCTCTGGGCCATTGAGTCCAGTGTTTCACCACCCTGGCAGGAAAAGGAGGAAAGTTCAAAGGAACCTGCACCAGAAGTCACAGCAGCTTGAAATGGAAATCACTTAGCAAACACTAAACGGGAGTGGATCAGAGATAGCTGCTCTCGGAGGCCTGGGGAGCTCTTGGGTGCTACTGCTCAATGGAGACCAATCTGTGAGGGGGAGGACGAAGGGGGAGATAGGATACAGCTCCATCAAAGCCTGCACGCTCCGGAGCAAGCGACCAGGGGCGTGCTACTTACCACTTCACAAAACGCCCAAACCAGGGCTCGCCCCATGAAACGAACAGGCAGCTGGTTTAACACAA